CTCAGCACCCTCATAGTTAAGAATTACCTCCTAATATCTAATTTAAATCTACCCTCTTTCAGCTTAGAGCCATCACACCTTGTTCTGTCACTATTTGCTTTTATAAAAAGTCCTTCTCCAGATTTCTTGTAGGCCCCTTTAGGTACCGGAAGGCTGCTCTAAGGTCTCCCTGGAGCCTTCTCTTCTCCAGGTTGAACAACCCCAACTCTCCCAGCCTGACTTCACAGGAGATGTGCTCCAGCCCTCTGAGCATCTTCATGGCCTCGTCTTGATTTGCTCAAGCAGGTCCATGTCCCTCTCATGTTGGGGGCCCCAGAGCTGGACATAGGACTGCAGGTGGGTTCTCATGCAAACAAGGCAGAGGGGAAGAATCACCTCCTCTGACCTGCTGGTCACAATCCTCTGGATGCAGCCCAGGACACAATTGGCTTTCTGGGCTGCGAGCACACACTGAAGCTGGCTCACACTGAGTTTCTCATCAATTAACACCCCCAAGTCCTTCTCCTCAGGGCTGCTCTCAACCCATTCTCTGCCCTGTAGTTGTGTTTGGGATTGCCCTGACCCAGGTGCAGGACCTTGCACTAAATAAGATTTCAGACCACAGCAGGTCAGCAAGAAGTGGGAACATCCCCAAAGAGTTTCTTCTAAACTGTCCTGCCCATCCACAAGTTATTTTTCCCTTAGTTATTCTTCCTATGCTGCCATAGGCTTCATGGTTTTGTTCCTGCCTTTAAAATTGCAGGAAGGATATCAGACTAGCAAAGAACAAGTAGCTGAGAGCATCTGAGGCTCTTGGTACCACTGGCTGGCTTGATAAAAACTGCTGTATTTGCACCTGGGATTGCCCCAACCCAGGTGTAGGACCTTGCACTTGGCTTGGTTGAACTTCATGAGGCTGGCATCAGCCCACCTCACAAGCGTGTCCAGATCCCTCTGGATGGCATCCCTTCCCTCCAGCGTATCGACCGAACCACACAGCTTGGTGTTGTCAACAAACTTGCTGAGGGCACATCAATCCCACTGTCCATGTCACCAACAAAGATGTTGAACAAGACAGGTCCCAACACCAACCCCTGAAGTATACCACTTGTCACAGGACTCCAGTTGGACACTGAGCAATTGACCACAACTCTGAGCATGACCATCCATCCAATTCCTTATCCACTGAATGTTCCATCCATCAGATCAAAACCTCTCTAGTTTAGAGACAAGGATGTGATGTGGGACAGTGCCTTGCACAAGTCCAGGTAGATGACATCAGTTACTTCTCCTTTATCCACCCTGCCATAGAAGTCCACCAAATTTGCCAGGCATGATTTGCCCTTAGTGAGGCCATGCTGGCTGTCACAAATCATCCCCTTATTTTCTGTGTCTTAGTGTATTTTCCAGGAGGATCTGCTCCATGACCTTGCTGGGCACAGAGGTGAGGCTGACTGGTCTGTAGTTCCCCAGGTCTTCCTTCTTTCCCTTTCTAAAAATGGGGGCTATGATTCCCCTTTTCT